GTGTGTGTGTGTGTGGTGGTGGTGTGTGTGTGTGTGTGCGTGTGGGTTTGTGGGTTTGTGTGTTTGTGCGTGAGCAGGCGTGGCGCGAGGAAGGCATCTGTGGGTGGTGTGTGAGGGCATTTCTTTGCCTGCAACGAGTACGCCTCACACGCGTCGGTTCGTGTCGCTGTCATCTTGTTCTTGCTTTGTGTGTTACACGTAACATTGCATGTCAACCAGTCTCGCTCGGTCCGCAGTAGCACGCGGTGGAATGACGTCCCCGACACACGCACACACACACATGCACACACGCACACACGCACACACATGCGCAACAAGAAGCGCGCTTCCCCTGTGTTGTTGCCTTCTTGTCTCTCTCTGTGCTTTGCTGACTGTAGGACTGGTGTATGCGTATGATGCGCGTGTACGTGTGTGGGTTGTTTTGACTTTGCATCTATAGGTTCGGTGTGCTTTTCTTATCCCTGCTCTGTGTGACCTGCCCCTTTGCTCCTTGTTGTTTGCCTGTGGTTACAGTACTGATTGAAGATAACAACGCACGCAACTCAAGCAAAGCAGGCAACGCAAAGCAGGCAGGCACGTGTATGTGTGTGTGTGTGTGTGTGTGTGTGTGTGTGTGTGTGTGTGTGTGTGTGTGTGTGTGTGTGTGTGTGTGCGGTGGTCATGTCATGCACGTCACGTCACACCTCAACGCATCAATTCGCGCGTGTGTGTGTGTGTGTGTCATCCTGGCTCGGGATGATTATGGACGATATTCACACATTTTCTTCAAGGCGTGACAGCGCAAGCAACAACGACGGAGGAGACAGCGGTGGGAAGAAACCGAATGTCTTTCCATGTTGGTTGGTTGGCTGCTCTCCTGTGCTTGATCATCTCCCCTGCCTGTCTTCCTCTTCTTGCCCCTCACCTTTTGCTTGCTTCGACCACCACACACACACACACACACATGTGCACACACACACACGTACACAGGAAACTGGCACCCAAACCTCCCAGAATCAAACCACACACGTACACGCGCATACAACCAAGATGATGGCACAGCAACAACCACAACGACACCAGCAACATCAACCACAACAACCACAACAACCGTTCCAGCAATCGTTCCAGCAACAAACATACCAACCGCAGCAGCAGCAACGACAACAACAACAGCAGTACCACCAACAACAATACCACCAACAACAACCACCACAACAGAATCAACAACAGCAACAGTACCACCAACAGCCGTACCAACAATACCGGCAACACACACAACCCGCACAACAACACACACACCACCAACCTCGGCCACAACCACAACCACAACCACAGCCACAACCACAGCCACAACCACAGCCGCAACTGCAGCCACAACCACAATCACAGCCACAGCCACAACCACAGCCACAACCACAGCCACAGCCACAGCAGCAATTGCCACGAGATCGAAGCAAGCAAAAGCAATGGGAATGTTTGGTGCTGGTGGACGAGAGTTGTGGGCTGCACCAAGACGAGTACAAACGCTTGGTCAGCACGTACCTCGTGCCACTCTTGTCCGTGGTGCACTCGTACACCAGCCGCACTGACAAGCCCATCCAGTACACGCTCATGACGTACCCTGACGACATATCCTGGGCGGCGGGAACACGCAGCATCACCACCTTCCCGGCCATCACGGACCACGGCAAGTTTGTTGAGCTGCTGAAGACGCTGGAGCTGTGGGGTGAAGGCATGCACGGCGCACTCGCGCCGGCGCTGAGCACGGCCATGACACGGTTTCCGCAGCACGAGGACACGTTCCAGATTGTGATCATCATCACGGGGCTGGAGCCGTCCGATGTCACCAGCAAGGAGAGCGCAGCTATGCCAAGCATCAGCAACAAGTCGTGGCAGGACCTGCTGCGAGCCCTGCGCAAGCGCCGTGCGGACATATCCGTGCTGTCACCCCTTCGCTCGCCCGCCCTCATGTCTGTGTTGGAGGAAAACACACGGCCAGCTGATGACTTGTTCACCTCCCTCGCCAAGCCACTTCTGCCCGCCGTGTGCTCAGACCTCGTCTACGTGCCCACCTTCAAGCTCAGAACACGCCACACCCAGGCCATCAACATCAGGTGAGGCAGCGGCATGTAGATTTGGGTGTTTGTTTGTTTCTTTGTTTGTTTGTTTGTTTGTGTGTGTGTGTGTGTTTGTCTGTGTGTGTGTGCGTGTCTGTGTCTGTGCACCAGTGTCTTTGTGGAGTGTACTGCAAGTGGTGGATGCGCACGATGTACCATGGATACCATGTTGCATCTGCTTCGTCACATTCCCCACAACCCCACACCTCGCTCACCACCACCACCCCTGCAGCATGAAGCGGCACAGCGGGCAGCCTCCGATTGTCATCCGCGCCACCGCCGTCATCCCCGGCGACCATGTCCTCCCCACCAACATGTGTACGCCACCCACCGATGCCGCCCAAGCTCGCGTGCATGTTGCTTTGTGTGTGTGTGTGTGTGTGTGTGTGTGTGTGTGTGTGTGTGTGTGGGTGTGGGTGTGTCTGTGTGTGTGTGTCTGTGTGTGTCGGTGTGTCTGTGTGTGTGTCTGTGTGTGTCGGTGTGTGTCGGTGTGTGTCGGTGTGTGTCTGTGTGTGTGTCTGTGTCTGTCTGTGTCTGTGTGTGTGAATTTAAGCTGCTCTTCTGCGCGTTTACAACAACAGCCGACGCGTTTGAATGTTCACCATCCGCCGTGTATTGCCGTCTTTCTCTCAGCCCTTTGACTCACTCCTGCTAACATTCTCTGCCCCTATGTGTGTGTGTGTGTGTGTGTGTGTGTGTGTGTGTGTGTGTGTGTGTGCAGACGTATTCCATGAAGACACGCGGCCAATGGATCAGCGTGTCGCTCCGTGGCAGAGCATGCCCCAGGGCACCGTCTTCCAAGTCAACGCCCACATCAAAGGTGCGCTCGATGTTACGGTGTGCGTGTAGGCGTATGTATGTGTGTGTGTGAATGTGAAACTGTGTAGGTGTGAGTTCCTTGGCCCTTTTTCCCTCGTCGCTTCAGTGTTTATTTCTCTCATGCACAACCGCTTTCTTTCCTCCCTCCATTTCTTGCTTAATTTCTTTCTTTCTGTCTTTCTTCCCTTCTTTCTTTCCTTCCTTCTTTCTTTCTTGATGATTTCTTTGGCGTCTGCAGGCGGCCAGGCACCCGAGCTGCTGAAGCAGTGGAACGCACTGCAGTTCCCCTGCATCTACGCCAAGCCATACTTCCTCGAAGTTTGTACGTTTCGGGCAGCGTGCGCTGTGACGCTGCTTTCGCAACGCACACGCGTCGCAGCGCCCCAACAATCATCCACCACACACACACACACACACACACACACACACACACACACACACACACACACACACACACACACACACACAGAAGAAATACACAGGAGACGTGCACACACACACGCACACACAAAAATACACAGGAGACGTGCACACACACGCGCGCGCGCGCGCACTTTGCTGCACAAACATGGATCATGAGCTCACGTATGATTTGATGTGTTGTTGTGGCTGCCTGTGCAGTCCGGAGCAATCCAGCACAGGGGCAGGTGATGTTCATTGCTTATTCAATGGAGCATAACCGCTTCCTTCTCACCACATTGCAAGAGGTGCGACGTGTGTGTGGGTGTGGGTATTTCTGTGTATGAGTTCGTCTGTCTGTCTGCATGTCTGTCCGTCCGTGCTCGTTCGTTTTTGTGCGTGACATTTCCCTGGTACGCGCTGCTTCTCCACTCCCTCCCGCTACTTGCCATGCATGTGCTCACGCAACTCAACTTCCCGTACACCTGCTCGGCCACCCCTGACCTCGCCCCATCCTGACAGCAAAAGAAGGTGTGACACCATGATGCATGTGCCCGTGGCTCGTGTGTGCGCCAGTCGTGCGTGTCTGGATTGGAGGTTGTGGTGATTGTGGTTGCCCTTGCTTCGGCACAGCAAACGACTCACCAAGCGTTGGATGCACACACACACACACACACACACACACACACACACACATCCACACACACACACACACTGGCTATTTCTGTGCATGTCGCCTTGTCTTTCAGATGTCGCAAGTTGCGTTCTTGCAACAACAGCTCCACGGACGGTCACAGGGGCATCGACTGCCGGCAATCACAACCTCCTCTTCTTCCTCCTCCTCTGTGCCCACGACCACCACGTCAATCGCCACGACCGCCGCCGTGACCTCTGCATCGTCCCTTGGGCAGCGCCCAGTGCCGCACGTTCCCACCATATCCGCTGTTGTCACGCCAGCACAACTGCAGCACCAACAACAACAACGACAACAACAACCACAGCAACACATGAAGCTGTCTCCAGGGCGTACACATCAGGGGCGTGCGCCAGTGCAACAACAGCAGCCTGTGCAGCCAACGCGAAGGGCACCTCAGCCTGTCAAGGGCCGCAGGCAGGGAAGACAACAACAACAACAACAACAACAACAACAACAACAACAACAACAACAACAACAACAACAACAACAACAACAACAACAACAACAACAACAACCATCATGGCAGGGTGTGAAACAACAACCTCAAGCGGCAGTGCCCCAGCGCGTGGAGGCTGTTTGGGCGCAGATGGGCCAGCCTCCACCAAAGCGCGCGCGCATGTCGGCAAGCGACCTCGACATTGACGAGCTGTTAGGATCGTGCGATCAAGTGCTGCACGGCGACTTTTGACATGAAGCAACCAACCACATGTTTGTGTGTTGTATGGAAAATGAAACCTTCGAAGTGCCGCGTGCCTTCATGCACGTATGTCGTTGCTGTTTTTCCTTTCATGAAGCTTTGTCTGTGTGTTGGCAACTCGTGTGTTTTTCGCTTCAAGGAGATATTGCACCAATCTGGCCACGCATTTCGTCATGATCCTGACAAACTCGGGACGAAACCTGACTTTAAACTCACCCAAACGCCCGAAACGTTACGTCATCTCAAAGAAATTTGTCAGCCCAAGCGTTTCGAACGCGCCCAACCACGTTATGGAATGTATTTGGGCCTTTCACACGCACGCACCAACACAGCGCCCTTGGTGCGCGACTTTGACGAGAGTGCGTGATGCACTTGGATGGAAGTGGAGAGCTCGATGCACACTCATTTTCACTTTTCATCCAGCAAATCAAACGCCAACACCAAGAGGACAAGCCAAGCAACACATCGTCAACCAACCAACCAACCAACCAACCCCCCTCAATATGAACACGAAGGCATTGCTCATGCGAGCACTTCTGCTCGCCACTATCGTTGTGGCGATCACCTTCCCAACCGCTTCGTTTGCGAATGAAGAACACGAGGACGACGAAGAAGAGGAAGAGCTTGACCTCACGGGCAAGGTGTTCAACATCGGATGCGTGCTCTCCCCAGTTCAGCGCCGTGAGTGTGCTCGTGAATGTGTGCTTTGTGTGCTTGTGTTGTGCTGTGCTGTGCTGTGTCGTTGTATTGTTGTGTTTATTGTGTGTGTGTGTGTGTGTTTGTGTTTGTGCTCTCTCTCTCTCTCTCTCTCTCTCTCTCTCTCTCTCTCTCTCTCTCTCTCTCTCTCTCTCTCTCTCTCTCTGTCTCTCTCTCTGTCTCTGTCTCTCTCTCTCTCTCTCTCTGTCTCTCTTTCTCTTGTGTGTTTGTACATGTGTGAGTCTAGGAGTCTGTCTGTGTTGTGTTTGCTATGTCAACCTCTGGTCTTGTCACCGTCGTTGGTGTTGTCAGCTCACCGTGCATATGCTCACGCCACGTTTTCGTCTTTTTCGCCTGTCACAGATGTTTGCGACACCTTCGAGGAACTGCTGCACGAGTACGCGCCATGGAACTTCACCATTCACAGGATGACCGAGCTGGAGATGCTCGACAACGCCAACGACCTCGACTTTGCCCTCGCTGACACCAAGACCATGGCCTGCCTCGACGTGGAGCGCGGGCACTCTCCGCTCGCCACTCTCGGCTTCCCGGACACCTACCGTGAGTCCACGACGCGCACCCGCTGTGTGTGCTGGCTGGTTGTCTGTCTGTGGCTGCTGACTGAAGTTGCATGCAAGCAATTGGCTGCTGACTGAAGTTGCATGCAAGCAATTGTCCACCACACACACACACACACACACACACACAAGGAGCGATGCACTGGCTTACATACTTGCAAGCATGCGAACTCACCCTCAAGCACTCCCTCACACCATGTACTTCCTCGTGCACGAACACACGGCCAATCATTACCCGCTCCCCCCTCTCTGCCTTGCCTGCTTGCTCCCTTTCTGTTCATCTTCCATTCATTCCTCCCCCTTTTCTTTCTCGTTTGTCTCACAGTACCTGAAGTGGATGAGGAGGACGACTTTGTGTATGGGGCTGGCGGCGTGACGTTTGCACTTCGCAACTCCGGCATTGTCTCGCTGTCAGACCTCAAGGACCAGGTTGTTGCCGGCACCACCATCACCGATTTTGCAAGCACGCACGCCAACTTTGCCAAATACCATGGCAAGACAGGCCGCCACCTCATCGACGACGCCACCGTGGTTAGCCCTTAACTTTGTGTGTGAATGTGTGTGTGTGTGTGTGCTTGCCTGCATGTGTGCATGTGTGTGTGCTTGGTGGACGCGTGCAATTAGTTGACCCCAACGTACTTCGAACACACTCTGTATGTAATGCTCACCTACCCATCTCCACCCTCTCTGATGGCACGTGCAGCTGCAGTTCATGGGAACGCAGGAGCGCGTGTTGGAGGCTGTGCTGTCTGGAGCCGCTGCTGCTGGCATGGTGCAGACAGGATTCCTGGAGCACTCTGCAAGCGCAGGGCTGCTGGACTGGGACGACGTTGATATCCTCGCTCAGGAGATTGCCTTTGACGAAGACGGCACACGGTTTCCCTACTTCAGCTCAACACCAGTCTACCCTGGCTGGACCTTGGTTGCAACGCACCTCACATCCCTCGAGGTCAGCGTGCAGTGCTGTTGCGTGTGTCTGTGTGTGTGTCTGTGTGTGTGTGTATGTGTGTGTGTATGTGCGTGAATGACCAGCGTCTACTTCCTTCGGTGCAGCATGCACACCCTCTCCACTGCCTGCATTCCATTGCTCACAAACGCACACACTCACACATACACACACCATACCCGTTCCACACCAGGAGCGAGACCAGCTGCTCGATGCCTTGTTTGACACTGATAGCAGCCAGTGCCGCCTCTCTGTTCCAGGGAGCTTTGCCACTGCCGGCGGCATCCTGGTAGGGCAATCACATCGATGTGTGCCCAGTGGGGGAGAGCTGCTGTACGACATGTTGTGTGTGTGTGCGTGTGTGTGTGTGTGATGTCGTTGTCAGTGGTTGAGCGCCTGCGGTACCGCGTCTCACACGGCATTCATCAAGCCACACCAGATCTCTCCAACTCACTCATCTTTCCTAATACTGTTATCATCGTGCAGGAAACCTTCGGAGTGGTTGAGCGCGACCTGGTGCACACAACCGAGGCCCGGTGTGTGCGGAGAATGTCCCACATCGTCGTGCATGAGGAGGGCGAGGACGACGAACACGGCCACGATGAGGCTGACGCTGAGGAAGAACAGGAGGTGATTGCAGAAGCAGCACATGATGACCATTCTGATGAGACCCAGCACCAAGAAGCCGAACCTGGCACCGTCATCCTCGCACAAGATACCGGCGCAACCCCTGGCGATGATGAACATGCACATGAAAGTGGTCTGCATGCTGCACAAGTTATCTGCCCAGCAACCCACTTCCACCACAACGAGATTGTGCTGCCGGCGCTGTGTGCTGATGTGCACTGTCCGGGAAACACCCGTTGTATGTGCCGCCCTTGTCTGGAATCTCCACCGATTCTGGTAAGTTTTGTGTTTGGTTGTGTGCTTACAGTGTCAACCCTGGCTTACTGCTGTGGAGTGTGTGTGTGTGTGTGTGTGTGTGTGTGTGTGTGTGTATGTGTGTATGTGTGTGTGTGTGTGTGTGTGTGTGTGTGTGTCATTTTGGCTTGCTTTCGGAAAGTCAATCCTCTCATGATCTGCCTTTCTTGGTTCTGCGATCTGTTGTTTAGATCCACCCGGTTCCACATGGTGTCACGCAGGAAGTCCTCGAAGCAAACCCTGATCTTGCACGACAGGTGTTTCAGAAATCATGCCAACGCATGGAAGAGTGTGCAACCGGGACACAAGGCCAGGTCTTCTTTTTCATCCTTGAGGACAGGCTGGCAGAAAGGCGTCACAACGCAGACACGCTTTTCTTCGTCGTAAGAGTTTCCTGGCCAGGCGGAGACGAGTACACAACCGAGGCACAGCCTGTGGACGGCCACGCTGGACTGGCCCTCATCAACGTCACGGAGCCACACTTTGGAGCGCCCACGATTGCGGTCAGTCCATGGCAAAACTCAGTACTGTGGGAGATGGGACACCATGAGCATGCTGGAAATGAATGCTTGCATGCTTGAATGCTTGCTCAGATACAGAAATTCTAATTGGTTTGCGTTCGTGGTAGCTCACACGCGTACACCCTTACACCTGTGCGGCATTGCACTACCAACTCAGATCTACGAAGCGGATAGAACAACGAGCGCGGAAAACTGGGAGCCCATCTACGCCAGCCCGTTGCTCCTCCAAGTTGAGCCTCGTTCGTGCCCGCCAGGACAGGAGGCAACACAGGACAACACGTGCGTGTGCCCCGTCGGCACGCTCCACATCAGCGGCAGTTGCATGCAGGCAAAGGAGTACCTGCCCATCTTCATTGGCAGCGCCCTGGCTGTGATCGGCATCGGCGTGTACATTGCCATTGCCATGGTGCGGCGAGGCGCAGACAAGCTGTGGCAGATTGACGCGGCAGACGTTGTTGTGAGCGACCCGCCCGAGGTGCTTGGGATGGGCGCGTTTGGTGTTGTGATCAAGGGGGAGCTGAACGGCACCGCCATCGCCATCAAGCGCGTCATGCCGCGGGCCTCGCGTGCAGGTGCACGTGGTACGCGCACGGGAAGCAAGCGAGGGTTTCTCAGCAGCATGAAACGGAGTAGCAAGAACGGCGAATGCGATGACGCACTTGCAGCTCCTGACGGCACAGTGACAGGCACGTATCAGGCATCAAGGACAGCCAACGGCTTTGGCTTGCAGCTGGGCAACATGGACAACGAGGCAGCGATTGAGCGGGCGCTGGAGCAGGGCAATGCAACCACCCAGGGCACCACACACAGGATGAGCAAGACAAAGAGGCTCACAAACGCAAAGTACGTTTGTCTGCAGGAGTGAGGTGCTGTGGTGTGTGTGTGGTTTCGTGGGGTGCTGTGGTGTGTGCGTTGTGAGTGAGTGTGTTGTGTGTGAGTGTGTGCGAGTGAGTGTGTGTACATGCATATGTGTGTGTGTGTGTGCATGAGTACCAAGTGCGTGCCTCTCTTTGGCTCTTTGGCGTGAGGTACAGGCCCATTCTGGCTAAGCTGGTCAAAGTACTGCTCGCTTGCATTGTGCTCACTCACATTGGTCTTGCACTGCCCTTCACATCACGAAAGAGCCGAGTTCATGGAGGAGATGCGGCTGCTGTCACGGCTGCGCCACCCGTGCATCGCCACCATGCTTGGTGCCATCATGACCAAGTCGCGAGAGTTTCTCCTTGTCATGGAGCACCTCGAGCACGGGTGCGTCAATGCTTCTCGTGTGTGTGTGTGTGTGTGTGTGTGTGTGTGTGTGTGTGTGTGTGTGTGTGTGTGTGTGTGTGTGCATATCTGTATGTATGTGTGTGTGTGATTATCTTCATGTGCACTTGCATTGGATTGACATCAGGCTTTGCTGACGCTCCTGCATGCGTGCACTCATGCCATCGTGCCGTCATGCACAGCACACCGCATACACACGCACCATACTCTCGCCATCACTGCCTTCAACTGCTTCTTCCCACCCTCGACACTCACTCACGCACTCACTCACTTACTCATTCGCACCACACAAACACCCACACTGGCACATTGGCACATTGGCATGTTGCTCATGCACAGGTCGCTGTATGACTTCCTGCGCAATGATGAGCTGCCAACACCAGACATATTCCTGCTGCCCATTGTCAAGGACATTGTGTCTGGCATGCGCTACATCCACAACCTCAAGCCACCGGTTGTGCACGGCGACCTGAAGACGAAGAATGTGCTTGTGGATGGCAACTTCAAGGCCAAGGTTGCTGATTTCGGGCTGTCGCAGAAGCAGCGTTTTGGCTGTGGCACCCCCTTCTGGATGGCGCCAGGTGTGTGTCTCTGTGTGCATTTGTGTGTGCCTGTGTGTGTCTGTGTGTGTGTGCTGATGTGCTACTGTGAACGTGCATGCATGCAAGCACATGCATGTGTATTCGGGCGTGTGTATTGCAGAGTTGCGTTCTTCCCCCCTACCTTAACACATACACATACCTTCCAACCACTATCACTCACAATCACCACCAACACAATCACCAACACAACCACCGCTCACCAACCAACCATCACAACCACCTCTCACCACCGCAACCATCACAACCATGCAGAGGTGCTGCGCGGAGGAGAGGTGACGCGGGAGGCGGACGTGTACAGCTTCGCCATCACGGTGTACGAGATCTACAGCCGGCAGGACCCGTTCCCAGAGGAGGACGCGTCGGAGGTGCTGCGTCAGATTGCCGCGCGCCAGGTGCCGGCAAAGCGACCCGACATCCCAGCCTCGTGCCCCGTCATGCTGGCTGAGCTTGCGCGGCGGTGCTGGTCCGAGGAGCCCAAGTTCCGGCCAACGTTCGACCAGGTGGACGCGCAGCTGGGCGAGCTCAACATCAGCAAGGTGGGCGCAAGCCTCATCCAGCAGAAGCAGGACGCGCTGAAGAAGGCCACGGTGCTGCACGACGTGTTCCCGCCGCACATTGCCAAGATGCTGGAGGAGGGCAAGAAGGTGCACCCGGAGCACAAGGACGACGTGACCATCTTCTTCTCCGACATTGTGGGCTTCACCAACATCAGCGCGCAGCTGACGCCGGCGGCGGTGTCGGACATGCTGGACCGGCTGTACTCTGCCTTTGACGAGCTGACGGAGAAGCACGGCGTGTTCAAGGTGGAGACCATTGGCGACGCGTACATGGCGGCAACAAACCTTGTCAAGCCGCAGCACGACCACGCGCTCCGCATTGCGCAGTTTGCGGAGGACGCCATCAAGGCGGCGCAGTCGACGTTCATTGACCCTGAGCGGCCGGAGCTGGGGTGCGTGAACATCCGCGTTGGGTTCCACTGCGGCCCTGTCGTGGCCAACGTTGTTGGGCGGCGCAACCCGCGGTACTGCCTGTTTGGGGATACGGTGAACACGGCGTCGCGCATGGAGAGCTCGAGCGAGCGCAACAAGATCCACGTGTCGACGTCTGCGGGAGACCGCGTGCGGAGCCAGGCGCCGTGGGTGAAGCTTGAGTCGCGCGGGGTGCAGAACATCAAGGGCAAGGGCGAGATGCTGACATACTGGCTGGTGAGCACGAGGAAGCCTGAGCAGACGGGGCGTGTTGCCATTGCTGAGAACGAGGCCACTGTGATCGACATGGGCGAGGGTGATGGCGATGTTGACGGTGATGATGATGGTGATGGTGACACGGGTAGCCGGAGGAAGAGTGCCCAGCTGAAGGACAGCGTTGGGGGCGGGTTTGTGTTCAAGAAGAAGCGTGCGTCGTCGATTGGGCGGCGGTCGACGGGAGCACATGAGGGCGGCGCATCGGCGCGGGTGTCATTGAGCTCCGTGTCGTGGCTCAACGATGCAGAGGCGTTTGAGGCCCTGTCACGTGACAGCTTTGGCAGTCCTCGTACTTCGACAGCCTTGCATCATCATGGACCACGCTCCCCCACACGTGCCAATGTGGCCGAGGGTGATGTCACTGTTGATCATGATACCGAGACCCTCCCCGCCTCCGATACAGGCAGTGCACAGCCTGATGCGGGGAGCGTTGCTGATGCCTATTCTGAAGAGTCTTCGTTGCTGTCCATCCAGCCCAACCCGCAAGTCAGTCGGGAAAATGCTCCTTCATTCTCGTCGTGTTCGCTCCGCGACAGCCAGTCCGACCACGGGCTTGGGTGTAGTGGCACATCGCTGCTGTGCGCCGCCCCATTTCAAAATGAGGAGCTTCCGATGCTAGCTGAAGCAGACGAAGCAGGACGTGCGAGCCAGTGCTGAAGCTGTCAGAGAACTTGTGCGATCGTTCGCGTGCGTGTTACTGTGTGTTGGACTGCTCTTTGCGGACAAGAGACACCTCTGGCCATGTCCTGTCCTTGTGCTGCTGTGCTTGTTGTTGTCACCCCGATTGGGTGTGTGCATACGTGCGTTGTGCCCGTCATGATTTCTTCATTTGCCCCCTTAACTTGAACATACACGGTGCGCATATCAGTGCATGCGTGTGTGTCGCATTCACCAACATAAATCAAGCTGAAGTACAGGCCTCATTTATTTAGTTGGTGGGAGTATTGTGTGTATGTGCGTGTACGTGTGCGTGTATGCGTGTATGTGCGTGTACGTGTGTATGCGTGTATGTGCGTGTACGTGTGTGTGTGTGTGTGCGCGTGTGTGTGTGCATGTGTGAGACAGTGTGTGTGTGTGTGCGAGAGAGAGAGAGAGAGAGAGAGAGAGAGAGAGAGAGAGAGAGAGAGTTTTAAGCACAAGGCAAAGGACATTGCTGGGTCATGGTGAGGGTGGTGCTGGCTTTCAGGCACGAGGCAAGCCCTTTGCAGTCAAGGAATGCGAGAGGCGGGTTGTCGTGCACATCAATCGTGCCTCCAACGGATGCAAGGCTGCCAAATGACACAGCCTGGAGGTTGTTGCTGTAAATGTAGATGCTGCCGGTGACGGTCTGTAAGCTGCCAAAGTTGATGGTGGTCAAGGAGTTGCGCTGAACGTAAATGGGACCGCCCACGTGCGTGATACTAGAGAAAGAGAGCTGCTCAAAGTCTCCGTCCCCAAAGTACAGGCCTCCATCTACCCTTTCCATGTTGCGCCACAAGATCTGCTTGAAGCTGTACCCGAGCTCCATCCCGCGCGTGCGGCGAATGTTGCCCATGTCCAGCGTCGTGAGCTGCGGGTTGAAGGTGATGGCAAAGTAGCCGTTCACCTGTGTGAGCTGCCCAAAGTCGAGCGAGGTGAGGTGGTTGGCGCCAATGTGGAGACCGCCATCAACGCGTTCAATATTGGCAAAGTGCAGGGTGGCGAGCTTGTTGCTGAGGACCCTGAATCGGCCCAGCCGCGTGACGTTGCGAAAGTTGATTGCTGTGAGGACGTTGTAGCTGGGGTCGAAGTTGCCCCCGATCCTTTGCAGCTGCCCGCAGTCGACAGTGGCAAGGGCGCCCGGGCTGGAGCGGGAGGTGACGCTGAGTACATCGCCATCAACGCTGGTGATGGATCCAAAGTTGAGGGTTGTTGTGGACGGGGAGAGGGTGACTGACCCTGTTACGCGGCGCAGTGCCGAGAACTCGTCACAGCAGCATTCGACGACGTCGCGAACTGGGCAGTGGCTCATTTGGGCGACAAGCGCTCGTGATGCTGGGTCTGAGCAGTCAAGATCAATCGTTGGGCACGGAGTGAGAGTAGTAGTAGTAGTAGTAGTAGTAGTAGTAGTAGTAGTAGTAGTAGTAGTAGTAGTAGTAGTAGTAGTAGTAGTAGTAGTTGTTGTTGTTGTTGTTGTTGTTGTTGTTGTTGTTGTTGTTGTTGTTGCAATGATGGTGCCGTTTCTAGAGATGAGGCCGCGAGAAATTGCCACTTCCTCCACTTGCTTGATTGTGGCGACGACGTCGAGGTCATGGACTTGCGTGGTGCTGTTTGGTGCAGGGTTGAGTGCAATACCATTGTCGCTGACAATGTGCATGTTCAAGTCGAGGTCTGCAAAGAGGTTTCCCGTGCTGGCTCGCTTGGGGGAGGAAGTGTCTGGGCCGTGACCGGGGGCTGCAGGAGGCGCGGACACGGTAGCGTGCCTGACGATGGCTGACCCATTAGCGCCACCAGCCTGAAGCGCGGTGTCAAGGAGCTGCGCTTGCTCGAGCAGCGGGCGGTCGCCAAAGAAGGTGTTGTTCGTGCCGGACCAGAGGTAAACGGACCTGGGGCTGACGATGTTGAGGTTACCGGCCGCGTCCATGTAAATGCGGTTGCCACTCTCGCTTGGACTGCACTGCCGTGTGGCGTTTGCACTTGCAGTCGAGTTGGCGGCGGCGGTGTCTTGTTGCAGGGGCCCTGCGATGCGTGCGGAGTTGTCTCGCAAGTGTAGCAACGTCTGCCCAACATCAACGCCATCGATGAACAGGGAATATCCGCAGGCTGGGCGGACGCTGATGTTTCCGTTGGCGTTGAAAGCGACCTTGCCGTCATCACCAAGCCGCACAAAGGTGGTGGTGGTACCGAATGTCTCTGCTGGCTGCCCTTGTCCCACCACCTCCCTTCTTCTTCTTCTTCTTGCCCCTCCTCCTTGTGGCCCTCCTGTTGGTCTGTTCACTGCTTCATCTCGTTCTTCCGCTGCAACGCGTGCACGTGCACGCACTTCAGTGGTGGTGGTGGTGGTGCTGTTGATGCGGGTGGCGATCAGGAGCAGGAGGATCATGCAAACCGCTCCCATCTTCGCGAGGCGTGCTATGTCGAAAATCATTTATATCACGGACCAATTTTCTACAATGACCATGATGATGACAGCAGCCACTGCCGCCGTGCGGCGCAGCTGTGTTGCTGCTGCTGCTGCTCCGCGCAGAGGGGTGCCTGTTGTTGCTCGGCGCTCACTGTCGGCGGCCACTGCTCATAGGAGCGGGGCGAATGCGACGTACAACTTTGACGTGTCGTTTACGGGCAAGACTGCCGTGGTGACGGGTGCCACGCGCGGTCAGTCAACGTATGCGTGTTGGCATTGTGTTGTTGTTTGTGTTTTGTGTTTGCATTTGTGTTTGCATTTCCTGTTTATGTTGTCGGTGTGAGCTTCTTGTTTGCATGTCGAGTGGCCATGTGCTTTGCCCTACCTCACTCATAATTAGTTTGATTTGGTACAGGCATTGGCAGAGCGACGGCCATTGCGTTGTCTTCACTCGGTGCCGACGTTGTTGCCATTGGCCGATCTGGCCTGGACGAGCTCGCCCAACAGGTGTGCGTGTGTGCATGTGTGTGTGTGTAATTGTGTGTGCACTTGTGGGTGTACTTGTGTGTGTGTAATTGTGTGTGTGTGTAATTGTGTGTGTGTGTAATTGTGTGTGTGTGTGCGTGTGTGTGCGTGCGTGTGTGATGGTGTTGACGTGTGTCCATCTTGCGATGCACGTGACTGACATATATGTGCTGTGGTGTGGGTTCAAGTATCCTGCGCTGAAGCCAATGCACCTGGATCTATCAGATAAGGATGCCGTTGAGAAGGAGCTTTCAGACTTGCCCAAGATTGACCTCCTCGTCAACAACGCCGGCATCACGTACCTCGCCCCTTTTGTGGACCACGACCTCGACCGAATGCAGCAGTGCGTTGCAAACACCTGTGTTGACCGACTGCAGTGTCCATGTGTTGGTCGGTGTACGTGTGTGTGTGTGTGTGTGTGTGTGTGTGTGTGTGTGTGTGTGTGTGTGTGTGTGTGTGTGTGTGTGTGTGTGTGTGTGTGTGTGTGTGTGTGTGTGTGTGTGTGTGTGTGTGTGTGTGTGTGTGTGTGTGTGTGACACCCACTCCTTGCTAGTGTTTCGGTTTATTTGCGCGTGTGTCTTGAATGCTCGCAATCCACGACTACAGCTCATACTGCTGGGGTGGGGGCATTTTGTGACATT